CATAATCGGCCATGCTCGTCGTATGCCTCTCCATAGGTCCAAGCACGTGCCATTGACTTTGCTATCGACACTCAATTAACATTATTAATATACTTTGGCTGCAAAACCCGCACCCAAAGCTCGTTTGGATGTGTTATGAAAAGCCATGCAAGTTTTGAGATATATGCTAAATTAAGCTCTCGGGCTTGTCAGAGTCCTAAACCTCCTTCACGCTTCGGTCGACCCACTTTCGTCCAGCTGACCAGGTTGAACTCCTTGTCTCAGCAGGCGAGTCCCATTCGGTGATCAATCTAGTCACTTTTGGTGATCGGGAGTAGCGTGGATCGTCTCCTTTGAGAGGAGGTGTCGAAGGAAAGCAATTGACTCTATCAAAAAGAGGATTGCATTGCATAAGTGGGGAGGGACCTCAGTACCGACATTGCAAGGGTAACACGACCTGCAAGTGTGAGTGCCCTCCCCCTACAACCCTCAAGTTTCGCGTCCAACCCGTCCATCATATACTTATATGTAGCCTGAGTGACATGTTCATGGATAACTAACACACCCAGGTACCTACCCACATCCTACATTGGTGTCATTCCTAGTCGCCTAGCTATAATAGTGTCATGTTGTCTCGACGTGTTAGCTAAGAAGAAATCACAAATTTCTCTTTGCTAGCTAGTTTCCTCGAAGCTTGTGTGAAACACTCTAGACAATCCAGAACAACTTCTCCTTGCTTCTCAGTCACTTCTACAAACAAAACTAAATCGTCAACAAAAAATCAAATGAGAAAGTAGGGGGCTACCTAGCGATGTCCGAATTGGTTTTCAAGAGTTTCCTACTACTACTTCATGGATTGTGTGGCCAAGTCTATCCATGCATAAGGTAAAGATATATGGTGATAAGCGATACCCTTGTCGCAATCCCCTTGAAGGTGTGAATCTCTTTATCATACCCCCATTCCAATGAACTTGGAGTTCAACCGACGTGATGCAGTTCATTGTGACACGTATGATCCCGGTGGCAGGCCTGCTCCCTGTAAAGTTTGTTGGATGAAAGGTCAACACTATTTATCATAAGCTTTGGCGAGACCAATCTTAAGCACCATCGGGCCTTTCCTCCCTATCTTAATTCACATAGAGTGCACCACTTTGCGGAGCACTATAACAATTCTAGTTATGTACCTCCTAGGAACAAAACTCTTCCGACTGGGATGCACGAGCTTTGACATTATTGGCTTAATTTTGTTTACTAAACACTTTGTGAGTATTTTGTAGACTACATTGCACAGTCCAATAGGTCGAAACTAATATATTCGTTGGGGTCTCTTCACCTTGGGAATGAGAACAAGAAGTGTTTTATTGAACTGGTCAATCATGCTTGGGTTATCAAATTAGTCTCAGACAAACAGAGCTACTGAGCGCCCTTACAGCGACCCAACATTTTTGGTAAAAGATCGGATAAAATCAATCCTTCCCTGGAAATTCCCCCCCCCGCCCCACATGCACACACACATTTGCTTTATTTCATGTTGAACTTTGTCTGTCGGAATGAACTTTTCTAAAGCTCCACCGATCTATTTTCGCACCTTTAAAACAAATCAGCAACCTCAAAGCTGGTCCTGCTTCAACAGAAAACAAGTTAACATATAAGTCTCGAGCCATGTTTTTTAGCATCCCATCCTTGTACTAGTATACGTCATTCTCATTTTCCAGACAATATATTTTGTTAAATTTGTGCGGCTTTAGAGTAGACAAATTGAAGTATCTGGTGCTGCGATCTTCATCAACTATCCAGGTAGCCCTTGATTTCTGGTACCAGAGAAGTTGTTGCTGCCACAAAGTCTCTTCAAGCTCGTCTGTTTCTCTGTCTCTCTCTCTATGTTGGCGGCTATGGCTTTCTTTTCATTCCAAATATCTAGTTTCCTTAGTCGAGTTGTCAACTTTTTCTTTCTTGCCCCAATATGTCCGAAGATTTCTTTGTTCAACGTCGCTAAGGTCGCCCACAAGTGATCAAGCAAGTTGGGCAAACCTTCCTCCGCCCTCCAGTCCTCATTCAGGGCTCGGTGAAAGTCCTCATGCGCCAACCACACTACTTGGAAGCGAAATGGTTGTTCGTCTTGTTGCATGGGTCGGGAGTCAAAACACATCAAAATCGATCATGTGATCATAAAAAGGCCGAAGTTTGGATTTTGGACTAATCAAATTGCAGTTTGTGAGAAGCATGGTTGTCACGCCGGCCGGCGTGCCACTGGTTGAACCTGGTTCAACCTCTACCGGTCATAAAACCGGCATGATCGATATACGAATCTCCAAGTAAAATGATTTTATCTTAGTGAATTTAATTGATAAAAAGTCATTTATTATTTGTTTTATGTGTTAAAAAGTTAAATGTTGATGTTATTTGTTGGATTCAAGTACAAATATTTAGGTATTTACAAATATTTAATTGATACAAATATTTATGTGTTTAAATATGAGTATTTGTAAATTATTTGTAATATTAACCGGTATGAACCGACACAAACCGTATATACCACCGGTCGAACCATTTCACTTGCTAAACCGGCACACTGGCATAAACCGGTTTGACAACCTTGATGAGAAGCGAAGATCAACTTGCTGATCTAAGCATGTACATGTTGGATTTATTTGCTCGATAAGTTTCCAATTACCATTTACCACCACCTATAAAGTTACTGTTGTAAGTACACTAAATCTTGACCACTAAAAATAACAAAACTCAGCAGTAGAAGGAAACTTTGATTAAATCAGTGGCGTTAGCATTGCCTCTGCATGTTATGTCCTGTTTTAAGCTACCCTTAGCTCTGTGTCGACTACTTGACAAGCATGTCGCCCGTTTTTGGTGGGGGGTGGAGGAAGGAAAGTCAAAGATCCGTTGGATCTCTTGGAAAAACTTATGTAGGAGCAAACATGAAGGGGGCATGGGGTTTCGACGCTTTGAGCTTTTCAATCAAGCTTTGCTTGCTAAAATTGGTTGGCGGATTCTTGAGGAACCCCAATCTCTTCTTGCCCAGGTGTATAAAGGGAAATATTTCCCCAATGGGACGTTTCTCACAGCTCAGGCCCGGTCTCGCCCTTCTTGGGGGTGGCAAAGTATCCTCTATGGCCGTCAATTGTTGGAATCTGGGTTGCGTTGGCAAGTCGGTAATGGGCAGAAGGTCCCTCTACTTACGTCCAGTTGGATTCCCCAGCAACATCCCTGTCTTCCGGTTTATAACCCTTGCGTGCTTCCGGAAGGGGAGGGTTTGAAGGTGGAGGAGGTTATCCACGCTGGGGAGGGTAGATGGAATGAACAGAAACTCGGTCGATGGTTTGATCCAATTAATTGTAGAGCCATTTTGACCATTCCCCTCCCACGCCAAGATATTGAGGATAAACTGATTTGGCATCCGACTTCTGATGGCATTTTCTCCGTTAAGTCTGCGTACTACGTTGCGGTGAATTTGGATCGTCAGAATGGTCGGTGGCGAGCCTTGGCTAGTTGGATGGATAAGCCCAGCTGGATTAGGCTGTGAGAAGCGGATATTCCTCCGAAGTTTAGGGTTTTTCTTTGGCAAATCTTCCATAGAATTCTTTCTACTACGGAAGCGTTGCGTGAGAAGAAGGTGGATGTTTTGCCTCGATGTCCGGTTTGCTGGGAGGCATCGGAGACCTTGGAACACATGTTCCTGGAGTGCCCGGTGGCCCGTGCAGTATGGGATCATTCTGGTTTAGCCCACCTAGGAGAAGGTTTGCCTCGCCATACATTCCCGCTATTTCTAAAGAAATTACTGGCGGTGGTGCAAGACCCTGCTCTGGTGATGTCTATAGTGGCTGTTCTTTGGAGGATTTTGCGATCTCGGAATTGGGTGGTTTTTGAAGGCAAGCAGTTCGGGATCCCTACCTTGATGCGGCAATTCCACCAACAGGTGCAGGAGTGGATTACTATTCCCCGGGATCAGAATAGACAGAGTGCCCCCTCGCTGGCCCCGACCGTACTGCCTGATGGTGGTGCAACGGCAATTTGTATGTGGGATGGGGCAGTGCGTCTGGGTTCTCATGCGGCAGGGGGGATGGTTATCCTGAATTCTGATAGAGCGGTCATCCTTGCGAAGGGGATTCAATTCCCGGCCCTTAGTGATCCGGCGATGGTGGAAGCTCTGGTACTCCGGGAGGCGATTGGTTGGTGTTTGGCTAATGGATTCACTATCATGAGGTTTGAAGGTGATGCCCTGGTGATAATCGAGAAGATTCTCCGGAAGGAGATTCGGGATAATCGTATAGGGGTGATTCTGGAGGAGATAGTCAATTCTTTTGCTTCAAACTTAGGTTTCTCTGTTCGATTTGTAGGTCGTCGCAACAATAGGGTAGCTCACTTGGTAGCTAGAAAAGCCCTGTCTTTGTTCCCGGCTGCATGTCGTTCTTTTGATTTCCAGGCCTGGCTGTATTCCAGGATGTAATGATCTATTTGGTTCAATCTAATGATTATCTTTTGTCAAAAAAAAAAAAAAAAAGCAAGTTGAGGGATTCTCATTTCCTTCCCTCCTGTCTCTTCTTTCTTCTATTCTTCTCTAAGAAAGTTTCAGGGCCTGCTCTGCTTTACTGCTACTGAAAGGAAAATCAGGTTAATTACGTCCTACTCTTCGCATTCACCCTTGAGGTCCCATATCTCGTTGTTGTATAACATCAACATGCGCTTATTTCACTACCGGCGGGGATATGTGCAGCTGTAAGCTCAGTTTTTCCTTTCCTCCATCCCACCCTTATTTTCGAGCTCCATGACTATGGTTCTCTGTTTCTTGGTGTCTCTGTTTAGCCGAAGATACATTATATCTAAAATTGGATTGATTTGATTGACAGGGAATGTGAACGTGGAGTAACCACCATGATGGTGTTTGCCAGCTTGTCTTGTTACGCAGTCCACCCGGCCATGCGATGCGAGGGCGTCTTGTCTTTGTTTCGCCGTTACAAATTCTTTTATATATAACGGTTGAGATTTACTGCTTTGTCAAATGGCGCAGAATGTGTTCCAGATGGTCATTGTTTCTCTATTTCACATCATCGCCCTCTTCTTGTTTCTCTTCATTGAATGCTTCCCATTTGCTAAATTGTTACCTGGCTTTGATAAACATACAGAATAGCCTACAAAACACCACATCCACATGGTTTCACTATATATTATAAGACCCCAAACACCATATCTAACTACCTAAGCTGATTGCCAGTCCAGAGACTTGGATTCGATTAGAGGCCGTGATTGAGATTCTAAGAACCCACGAAAAGAGGAAGGCTGGAAATTTAGCGTCTGATTTTCCTTTCGGCAACAGTGAGGAGAAGCTTGGAGATCCCCTGAGTCCAGATGTCGTGTTCTCGTTGGCTCCTGCACTCAAACTCCACCAGCCCTCTCGCCGCCGTTTGTAGTCCAAAGTAACGGCGCTCATCTCCGTCGTCCAGAAGGTGCCTCCCTGGCCATGCTGGAAGCTCCTTGTGAACTTCCAAAACCACATCTGCATACCATTCCATAGAAACAGAGTAAACCTAAACTCGAAATTGTTTCAGCAGAGGAAGAAAAGAGCATTATGAAAAAAAAACAGAGGAAGAAAAGAAACAGAAACGCTTTAGGCGCATTACTCTTCTTTTTTTTGGTGATCGTCCCCGCAACATGCCTGCTTTTCATCTTCAGCATCACTTGCCCTGTTCTGTGAATGTAAACAGAGACTACTTTCCAGTGCAAATCCCCTGCACGCCGAACCCATAAACATAACATTCAATTTCACTGTAACGGAGTAAAACTATCCTATAGCTCTGAGTAATATGGCAATTGATGAGAAAGGAGGCTTTACCTTTGCGGGTTCGTTTGAGAAGCTCTGTTCCACGAGCTAGAAACTCTGCCCCAACAAAGCTATCAGCAGCAGGGCAGATCTCGCCGCTGTAGTTTCTTCTAGGATTCCCTCCGCCATTCCCAACCCCACAAATCCCGATCCCTTTCTCAATCGGAATCACCGCCGCCACGTTCAACACATCCTTCAACGCCCTCGCCTTGAGCGTCGCCGCCCCTCGCAGAGCTACGGAACCAGACAAAAACCCAAATAAAAAAAATGAAAATTCCGAGACAAAGTTGGAAACTTTTCCGGTAACTGAATTTGACCAATCACGATTCTACCAAACCTGTGGCCGCAGCAGCGGTGAGAGTGGTGATATCATCGTGAGAATGAACGTTGACGGCTGAGCTGACGACGGAGGCGAGGTGCTCGCGCTCGGCTCCCATGGCTTCAGCGGCTTCCACGCACTGCGCAGCGACCAGAGTGGCCGCCGAAGCCATCGCCATGTCGGTCTTGGCCAGCTGCTCGTTTCTTCCTGATTCGGCCGAAGTGGCGGCTGCGATGGCGGCGACGGCGGAGGCAACTGCTGCTACGGAAACAGCAGCGTGGAGCTGCGCATTGTGAGCCCTCGTCTCTTCTTTCTTCTTCTCCTTCCTCTCCTTCAACCACCTGCCCACCGTCTTCGCTCCTCCGCCGGCTGGGGTGGCCGTGCCGCGGCCTGCGGCGGCGGAACCAGCCCCGCCGGCGCTGGCTCGACCACCGGTAAATAGAGGATGTATGGTTTTGTGTGCACGAAAGTACTGCAACGATAAAGGAAGAGGGAGGAATCGGGTCAGTAATTTACTCCGCACTACAGTAATTCATGGTTGGAAGTTGTAACACAAAGAGGGGAAAAACATCAGAACTTTTTTTACTACGAGGAAAAGGAAAGGTGAAAAAGATGTGGTAAATAGGCAAGAACTGGCAATGGAATCTGTGCTTGATTGATATATTCATTCATATATCAACAATCACCCTAGAGAGAGAAATGGATACCGTAAGCTTGAAGAGAAGAAGAAGAAGAAGAAGAGACTTTTGCTTGAAATGAGCATAGCAGGGAGAAACTCCTTGGGAACACGACAGGTAGCCATTTCCAGCTTTCAAACTTTCTTTTACAGAAAAACATTTGGAGGAAAATCAAAAGGAAAATGGAATCAGTCGTGATCAAAATGGCAGCTTTCCTTCATCAACCTTGGTCGATAAGACAAGACGAAGAAACCTCTCTAACATACGATCAATGATAAACACAAGAAAACAGAAAAAGGAAAAGGGTTTTGTATTAAAAGAAGACAAAAGCAACTGAGTCTATGACCATCTGTCAATATCTGTCTGCCTGTAAGAGAGCTAGGCACTGTACTATTAATATTCTAGGTCGCTAACCAGGAAGAAAATGCAGGCAGGGGGAGGAAGGGAGAGTGATATAGTGGGACACGCAAAGCTCTGCTGATATACTGCTACAATTGTCTCCCATACATTGTGCTTTTTCTTTTTCCCTGGGGGTTGGAAATTACTGTTTAACAATTGTAATGTGCATGTCAAATTGTAAATCAATGGCATTGTAGAGAAAGAGATTTTAAGGGTGAGAAGAAAGACCTTGACCACGTCTTCAAACTCATCAGAGGGTGAAATAGGGGGACTGTCCAATTCCCCCAAGTTCAAAGGCCCACTGCTGTGAGACAGCCTCCCAGATGTCAATGGCGACACTTCCTGCCCAAATAAACAATAAGGAACCCATGATTTAAAAATGTTCAAACAAGCAGAGGTTAGGTTATGAAGTGACATATTTAGTTGGACTTACCGACTGAGACATGATACGTTCGAGAACAAGCTGGGAGGTGGCAGAGGAAGCAAAAGAGAACTGAGGGGCAGAGGTAGAAGAGGATGCCGCAGCAATGGTGTGATGATTGTAAGGAGGAACGTTCTCCGAGAAGTCCGGCATAGTGGAGAGTTCTTCAGGGATGGAGGCGGTGGTGGAAGAGGAGCTAGTGGTGGTGGGGAAGGAGTTGGTGTGGATGGACGAAGACAAGCAATTGGAGATGAGAGCTTTGGAGACTTCGAGGGCAGAGACGCTCCAGGATCTCGACAGGAACTCCATGGGGACTTTTGGGCTCTCTGGCAGCTGAATAGTGGTGGTGGTGGTGGTAGGGCTGTGTTTCAGCCTGAAAGTGGTGCTGATTAAAGGCGTTTCCTCCATGTGGGTTGAGTGCAAAAAAACTGAAATGGTTTGGGAAACCAAGGAAGAAAAAGGAAAGGGGTAATGGAGGGTTCAGCTTTGGTTGGAGGGAGAGTGTGGGGGTTTTGAAAACTTTGAGCAAAGGTGGTAAGAAAATAGCAGTAGGGGTTCTAGGGTTGCTTTATAGCTAAGAAGGGATAGTATTGCCCTGCTTTTTGGACCTTAATGGGAAGGGAAGTGAAGGGGGAAATGGGTCAACAGGGGTAGGAGGAAAGGAAGAAAAAAAGAAAAGTGGGGGCCATAAACTTGGACAAAGCTGAAGCTGACCCTGCATGCAGAGCAGGCTGCAGCTAATTCTGAGGAATGGCCAGTAGGGCTAGCAAGGGAGACTGAAGGAGAGAGATGCAGTAGTGTTCTATTCTATTGGTGGGTTTGGGTTATATCTTATATGGCCTATGCTGTCTTTTGTTTTCTTCTTAAGGCATGTCTCAAGAGTTGGCAACGTCTAAGGCCGACAAACTACAAAACTTAGGGCTTAGGAAGCGGTCCAAAGCAAAACTATATAATCAGTTCTTCAGCACCCACTTTGCCTCTGCAGTTTTGGACAATAAAGCTGATGACTGATCCCTTCTGTTCTGAAATCCTGATAGAGGGAGGAGAAGGAGAGTAGAGAGGAAGGGGCTAAAATGCGCATGCCTAACTACGTCATCACTCCCATCTTTTGTTCTCATCTTCCATTTGCCTGGCCGAGTTCTCCTCTTTCTCAAGAAAAAAAGGCCATCCTTGCAATCAATCTACTCCATCTTCTGATCATAAAGGTCTTCTTCTTCCCCCGAAAATCCAATCCACGCACTCAACCGGCTCTCCATACTTTCCCTTGTAGCTCTGATAAAGCAAAGCTCTCTGTACTGTGTAGCTGCAGACCTCAGTTGTGTGACCACTTTGTAAAGAAACGCTCTTTCTTGCTTTATTCCCTCTTCTTTTACCCACATCCCCTCTAATCATCATCCATCCACCACCACCAACTCTTACCCTCCAATCTAGAATTGGAATTTTTGTCCACGTTTGGAACCCAGTTGTTTCCTTCTCAGTTATGTTCCCTCCACCTGCACCAGGGCGCAAAATAATGCAGCAAACCAGAATTAACAAGATGAGATGTTTCAACAATTCAGTCATAGTCAGCTTCTGCATCCTTATTAATACTGGAGCTTCTGAAAACGATAATCACATTATTGCTTTTGAGATAAACCTTGTGGTTAGATGTCTGGATTTCGTCTAATCCGGGTTCGTTATGGTTGAATCCCGGACAACTCAGGCAAGGCAGGTGACGAGAAAGGGCAGTTAATTAAAGCATACCCTTTCAGGTGGCTTCGAGCTGCTTCTCGGCTTAATAGGGTCATCAAGGTCCCCAAATCCGGTCAAGGTCTAAAGATCAAGCAGGAATAGAGAGTCCATCCATCAATCTCCTCACCAGTTGATTGAACATGCGGCTGAGATAATCTCTCTTGTCCTCATTCTGCTGGCTAGTTCATTGAGCAGAAGATTCACAACAGTTTTGGGACAAACTCGAGGAGCATGGATGCCACCTTTTCCAAAAGAAACGATGCCCCAAAAAGTTTATCAGTACTTTGTGGCATGCATTCCCAACCAAGACCAGTTATATGTCTACTATCTAAACAGGAAGCTGAAAACCTCCCATCAAGCACCAAGGCCAATGACCCTTCAGAATGTTTGCATAATTGTCTCTCGCGCCCTCTTTCTCTCACAGGGACTAACCACTGCACACCAGAAAGCAACTGTATGAATGAATCATCAATCGAGTAACATATTATGAAGCATAGACTTAAAATTTCTACTACTAGTACAGGGGGACCATTTCCAACAATAACATAACAACATGCTCTTTTCGACAGTAAAGACAAGTCTTATTCATCTTGACAAACGTGACTGCACACTAATACAAACAAGGTAGGATCCATAAGGGTTTAGGGAATACCGAAAATTGCTATACACACAGTTAAACAAAGGCTATGCAAACTAAGTTCATTAATGCTAACTGAGGAACCACATGATTGTAGCAGAAAGATCATAAAATTCTTTCTCACCAGGAGCAGGCTTCATCAGAAGTCCCCAAAAAGAACCAAAGCACTAGCTGGCTAATGGTTTGACTGCGATCCACTACCCCCATAATACCGCTAGGTAGTTTCACGTGGGCATTCAGCAAATGCCATTCCCTCTATTAAACGCAAAGAAGGGGGTGGAACCATTTTATGAATATGTCCCTTGAAGCCATTTGAACCATGCCTGGAGCAGCCATTTCCTTCTCCTGACCATCGATCATCTATACAAGAGTGCTGCAAGCAATGGCAACCAGAGAGCGAGAATGTTTTGCTCCAAGCAGGCTGCAAAACCCCACAAACGTTTCTCTGCTTAAATAGTCCTGCTTCTCTGGCCTGCCTACACAGTGAAGAGTCGATCGGAGTTTTCCCTTTGAGATGATATCCGCTGGTTCTCCACAACTTGAACGAGGAAAATCTCTGGAGAAGCTTTCACCATGGGCACTGTAATATGGTTCGGCTGAAAGACTTGCAAATACGAATTCACACCAGGATAAGAAGCATTATTAAGCATACATAAGTAACTGAAGGAACACCACATGTTATCCCATCTCTGGCAGATGAAAGGGAACAAGAAACATAGGTGCTGTCAGAACAGTGAAGATACTGTAATCATAATGCCATTGCTGCCCAAGCTTGTCATGACCGCCATTTTTAACCAAAGCAGAGTGTTCTAACTGTCTTGTCTCTTTTCAAACACCATCATCAAGGGTTGAACGATAATGTATGACAGGTTTCTTCTCGCAGGTTTCTTCTCAAACACCATCATCAAGGGTTGAACGATAATGTATGAGACGCCCCTTTGCTGTGCCTGATTCAAGCAAGCTCTTCTCCAACTATTTGCCACCTGTTGCTTTGTGACACACTTGCGCCAGACATAATCTTAGCTGCATCATGCGCTATCCTAGCTCCTTGAAAACATTAGCAACATTCTTTTATTCATCATCCCCTGACACTGAATCTATGTATAGCTACTGTCGGCATCCAAATCAGTCACTGCAAAGCTGAAAGGTGGATAAACAGCTTGATCAGACTCGAGAACTTCAATGTATTTCAGCATAATTTCAAAGGAAGATACTTTCCTATACGGGTTCTTCAATGGAACATCACTCCCCAAGCCATACTCCTGCAATTAGCAATTTGTAGCTGCACTTGGCAAGAATCTCACAGTAGTCAATTTCCTGCTCCAGTAAGATCCCCTCATGCAGCTTCACATTTTCAACTCCCCGCCGGTTGCAGCTAAACAACAACCAAACGATCGAACACAAGCTCATCAAGTGAGAGAGAGAAGAAGCGGGATTTGAGGGGAAAGACGACAAACCTTGAGAATGCGCGTCCGCTTGTCGTTGTCCAGAAGAGCGAGGTTTCTCGCGAGAGGGAGAAGGCTTCTGCGAAGAAGAGAAGCCCTACGGACCGCGGTGATGGACAGAAGGCCTGTGCCCGTCAGACCTAGGGTTTCCATTACCGTCCTCCTGACCGTTTCCAGTCACCGTCGCTCTTCGGGCGAGGGAATTGGGACATTATCGTTTAGCAGATTAGGGTTCGCTGTTGAATCAGAAGATATCAACATTAAATCGGAGTAATGAAGCTCATTGAGCTCCAGCACTTCCCCTTCCTCCATCCCGTCTTACTGTCCAGTTAGTCTCGCCACTCCACGGCGGACAACGCCGACGAAGACCGGAGCCGGAGACGTTTCAAACAAGAAAGACGTTGTGGGCCGGTTCTGCACCTGCATGATTGCTCTTTGTGGCCTTTCGATTAGATTATTGGGCCTCTAGTCCATCTACTTGCGAAAACAGCGTTAGCGACCCAGGAAACGATGACACTTTACCCTCGAAACACTCGACGAAAATTAAAAATTAATTTTCGATCCAAAACCTGTAATTAATTTATTGCCCGTTCACTTGCCATTCCGTTTTCTATAGGTGCCACAACAGAAAACATCTGAAAATGAAGAAACAAAACCTACAGAAAACTTGTTTAGCTGAGATTTTTGGTGACTACTGAAACTGAATTCTGAAAATGAAAACCTGTTTAGTTGCTACATTCTGTTTTTCGATACTTAATTACCACAATTTTTTCATTGAGTATCATACAACTTTAATCATGATTATTATTTTTAATATAATTCGATTTATTTTCAATGAAACTTATACGACCCAAGACCAGAAAAAAGAACAAACAAACATACAAACATCACCATTCAGTTAATTATGAGGAGCACTTTTGAATAGAATTGTATATTGTAAGCATCAATCATCGTTATCCATCCCAAAGCACTTCGATTCCTGCTACAAATTGATTGTATATACCAAATTTGATCTTACAGCCGACGGATCGACACTTCCTCCACTGTTGCCGCCGCCATTACTCCTTCCAAACCGATGCTCGAACGATAAGACTCTCTATGTACGGGAGCCGAATGCCAAAACAGCTAGAGGAGAAGCTCGCATGATGGAGCTTCGATCGCCGGTTGGAGCTTCTTGTTCGGCCGTGCCCGGAGGAGGATTTGTTGCTGACTTCTTGTCCGCTGCCTAGAGAGGAGGAGGAAGAGGCGGACTGGCTGGAGCTTTGGAGAAGAAGAAGTCGAGTTTGGGGAGGCAGCAGCTTTGCTCGATGGGGTGGGGAGATGAAGTCGATCGATGGGACTAGGTTTGCAGAAGCGAACAACAACGTTTGGTCTAGTTGACAAAAGGAAAAAAAAAATAGAACGTTTGGTCGCTGAGGGGATTCGAACACCAGGACTCATTAAATGAAAATAGAGCGTTTCCCGCTAGGAAACGAGGAGAAACCCGCCCCAACTTTTCCAAGAAAAACAATTTTATCGTTTTCCCTTAGCTGCCTCATTGTTTTTTCCAACGAAAATGGAATGGCAAGTGAACCACTTTTTTATCATTTGTTTCTTAATTTTAGTTGTCACACTAGAAAATAGAAAACGAAATGGCAAGTAAACGGGCCATTACCTTTCCGTTAGTGGATTTTTTATAAAGTTGCTAGTCGATTTGGACTAAAATTATGGAGATTGCTAATTGTCGCCCTAACTATTATAATCGTCCTATATTAAAATTACATTTGTATCCTTTTTTATTGTTAGAATAAAAATATAACTAATCTACTGTAACCACCTTTGCCCGTCGCCATCGCTATCAGCCTATCATCCTCTGACCGCTACCACCCTCCAAGACCCACATACATGTACATCTACTTTTCAATTTCATTGCTTCTAATCAATTCAAGCAATAAAGAGTATAACCATCAATGGTGTTTGACATATGGGTTGCCGAATCACATAACTAACAATAAGGAGACCGGTTATTCAAAGCAACACCGGCCACCTGAATACGAAGCGAACGAGGAAGGAGGGTTTGTCGCCAATAGTTGAACGATGGCAGCAGAAAGGAGGGATCGTCGCCCAGGGAGGAGTTCGGCGACGGCAGAACAGGTGGTGACGCCGCTAAAAGCCTCCACGCCGCCTCCCTCGTTGGAGGAGATGAAAGCCTCCGCGTTGCCGCCCTCGTAAGACAGTGCGTGTAGCAGGGGCGGAGCTACATTGTAGCTAGGGTGGGCCCTGGCCCCCCGAGATTGATCTCGGCCCCTAAGTTTTTAAGGATATTTCGTACAAATTTTAGAAGTAGAACTTGTTCTATAAATTATGTCATCAAATAGTTATGTTGTCTAATGGTAGCCAAGCTTAACTTGTGTATAAAAGCACACAGGTTCGATCCACATTGGTTACGTAATTTTTTTAATTATTTTCGGCCCCCCCGGTCTCGAAATCCTGGCTCCGCCCCTGGCGTGTAGGGCTTTTTTGTTATTAAGGTTAATTTAGTAATTTTATATTTTAAATTAGGGCGATAATAGTAAAACTAGGGCGGTGTTTAGCCATTCAGAAAATTAATTACCTTTCCGTTAGTGGATTTTTTTATAAGGTTGCTAGTTGATTTGGGGTAAAATATTTCGGGTACCACTAAAGTATGAGAATTGGAAAAGTTATATCACTTAAGTAAGAATAGAGCATCTCGTGTCACTGAACTCTATTGTATATGCATCTGGTATCATTTTTTTATATAAGGGTGATATAGGTTTCTTTTTTGTGATTAAGGTACTACTTAAGGGATTCGAACCTGTGACTTCCAGGTTCTAGGCTAGTTGTATTACCACTAGACCAAACCCTTGTTCATTGCATCTGGTATCATTTAAGTTTAATCTTAAGTGTATCCCGTTAAAGTTGACAGAATATTCATGGAATATTCCGTTTTCTAAATTTAAAAATTGGTTTTTTTTACTTTTTTTATTCTAAAAACGTCCTTTGAATTTATGAAAAACATATTTTTTTCTATTGTTTAGTTGGAATCATCTTTTAAATACTCTTATCAAATCAATTTTGAATAGGAAATTTGGAATCAATTATAATTATAAATATTTTCAATTATCATTATGTGTTCTAATAATTGAATTATTTCCCGAAGCAAATATATCCTATGAATTCTGTCTCGATATAAATAATCTGAGAGTGTTATATTTAGATTTCTTATATCATGCTGATGTGTCTAATTTTCCATGTTAAATATCTGTGTAATTCTCTAATATTATATTATAGATATTTCATATCAATGAAATTTATTAATTTAATTCTCTTCCTATAGTTATACTTTTCTAGATTTGTTACTGAACGTTTTAGCTTTTATAGTTTACTTATTACTTTGTTACTTTTCGTCTTTTTTCGTTCCAATTTTTTTTTTCAATTGCTAGAATATGTTTAATTCTTTCTGATTTTGTTCCATTTGTCTTTCTTTGGTCTTGATGTATTGATAATCGATTAGATTCTATTTTAACTTTTTAGTGGTGCTTCTAATTGGATTAGGGATTTAAATAGATTTTATAATATTGATTTTAAATATTTATTATTATCTTCTAGTATATTTATTATTCCTTCTAGATACTCGTTTATTATTTTTACTAATTTATCTATTTTATTGAAAAAATTTCATTAACCATTATAGTAATACTATGTTTAGAAGGTTTTATAATTTTTATATTAGATAATACTTGTGTAAGTGTAGTTTTGGAGGTTTTTAAAAGTTTTGGGTACCTCAAGATAATTAAAATTTGGGTTGGATGGAAAACTAGACGAATGCACCTTTTGGCGACTTTAATGGTACCTGACGCCCTATTCAAACTTAAGTGGCATGTCTACCCCAATTCTCAAACTTAAGTGGTACCCGAGGTATTTTACCATCGATTTGGTTGTAAGTTGTAACAGTAACAATTTCTTTCGTTATCGATAAATGGTTAAGTAAATTTTGGTTACCGTTAATCACATTGTATATATTAGCCAGTCTGTCATAACTGTATAGTCGGTTATCACTCATTATGTCAGTTAATCAACTAACCGTTTACCAAGTAGTTCGGCAAAGGTTAGGCCAAAATAACCACTCGGTAACCAGACAAACAGAAGGCATCTCTTTTTTTCAATTTTTTCCTTCTTAAATTTTTTCCTACACATGTATGTGTTTTTTATAGAAATCTTATTATTGATTGGGGTTTGAGCTGTTGTGCCTATTGAAACAGAGAAAAAGAAATGAAGAGAGGAAGGGGAAGAGTGGCGAGTGTGAACTGTGTGAGGGAAGTCATTGATGGAAGATACTGGGGTGCGGTCCTTGCAATCTTTCTTCCAACATAAATCATCTGACCTTCCGAATTCAATCTTGATGCCTATATTTCAATCAAAAAATTGACGATCGACTTTGCCTCTTTCAATTTAAAGCCACACACTAGGAGAAAATTGAGCAAAGAAGAAGAGGGTCTGAGTGGGGAGGAGATTGCTTGTTCAAAGTTTGAGAGTTTGTTTAGGAGTGACATGACCATTTCCGGGAGAGAAACATAGATATTCATATTCGGTTAGTTGTCAATTAACCATTAACTTACTATCTATACACCTTCAATACCAACCTCAAGAGATGGAAGCAGGAGTATGCAACCTACATGCTAAGGAGTCAATATGGAGAGACCATGGATCTTGAAGGGCTTAAGGAGCGTGCAAAATTCGTGGACCGTGGAGAAGAGGAAGATCATCTCAATGGAAACACATTAGACGTGAGAGTAGGTGAAGAAATAGGGGAGCATGGAGAGGAGGATCAACACGAGGCCAATAGAGAAGAATATGAGTTTATAGCTCAATCTTTGGGAGAAGAAGGCAATAGACACTGTCAAGAATATGCAATGGACAAAGAAAGCTATTCAAAACTTGATGAAAGCTTCTTCCAGGCCATAGAAACTATGATCAAGTATCTTCAACCTATCCTGGAAGAGAAGGATGATCAACCTATCAAAGAACCTAAAGAGAAGATCATAAGGATACCAATGAAATTATTGATGAAGATGATGATCTTACAACTTCTAAAAAAGAAGAGGATGAGATACCGCCCCTAGAGGTAGCATTGAATTGAAGCTAGGATGCAGTCTTGAAGTCTACACTCTAATCCGAGAATTATGGAATGGGGGGGGGGGGGAGATGTCAAAGACTACATCCCAAACCTACGCTTTCTTCAATATATATCCACATGCAAATCAATTACCAAGGCACCCTTAACCATTGAAAATATCATATAGGCATAGACAAAGTGTGATGATCCCCCTGCACCGCTTATTCGAAGTTCAACAAAACCTTTGGAACCAAGCATTGAAATGAGGAAGCTACACCTAAGGATGATAAATCTCACGTGAATAAGGAAGGTGAAAGGCCACTAGAGGAGCAACCATCC